AAAAAGAGGTGCCCCCTGCTGGGCATATTGAGAGAGCGCCACCTTAGCTGGGAGTGTTAGAGAGAGGGCCGCCACCTAGCTGGCAGTGTTAGAGAGAAGAGCGCGCCACCTAGCTGGGAGTGTAGAGAGAGGCGCCACCTAGCTGGGGAGTGTAGAGAGAGAGGCGGCCACCTAGTCTGGAGTGTAGAGAGAGAGCGCCGCCACTAGCTGGGGTATTAGTAAGACGACTAGGGGCGCCAACCATAGCTGGGACTTGTAGACGTGAGCGAACAGAGGCCCACCTAGCTGGCGGTGTAAGCGAGAGAGAGGACGCCAGTCTCGCTGGCTCTGCCGGACTTTCAGTTCACTCCGATGCCATCGCGTCGCCGCCCGTCCGCGCGCGGCATCGCATGCCTCTCTCCACGGGCCGGTCGCGATCTATTCCGGCTCGCCCGCCCATCGTGGTTTTGTTCGGCCGCTTGGAGCGACTAAGAGCCCGGCGCGCTGACATCTAGATTCATATGGCCAGCCATCGTAGAGTGGGTGTAGTCCGCCCCTGCGAGCACGCGTGCCCTCCCAGACTCGTTCGCCCTCGGCAACTTGGCGAGCTCATATATGCTGCCCATCTCACGCATGCCACCCGCCGCACGCCCTCCCTCGCGGTCCCGGTCGATTCGACCGGCTACCAGGCGGGCCCGTCACTGATCGGGCGCCCTACAAACCCGCTCGACTCCCCTCCCCGTGCTCCCTCATCTGCCATATTCTCACTTCCTGCACCCCCTACGCACCCCACAGTCTGACGGACGCTGCCTTCTCTCTATCGTGATACACTTTGTGCCCACTCTTGTGCTGCTCTCGCTCGCCTCTGCCGGTCCACCTTTAGGCCAGCGCATCTTCCCAACCGCCCCGACTGGCCAGCCATTACTCGAGCAAATCTCGCTATACAAATAAGCAAGCAAAAACCGACCAATCTATCAGCTTCTCTCACTGGGTCCCCTGGGCTACGCTTCTCATCCTGCTTCCACGTCCACGCATACTCTATCTCCACTCTTAGCTGTATCGCGTTCTTTCCTGACTGCTCTCATTACATTCCCCTTCTCCTACAGGTCGCACCTCCGATTTCCAGCTCGACCCAGGCTCTCGCACTTTCGACCTAACCAGATAATCTCTTTCAGGTAGCTATCCCTATCCCGTCGCTCCCCCCACCTGTCGTCTACACCCACTTCTTCGGGTCTCAGCCAACCTACTACCATATGCACTCTACTCCAGACATGCGCTCTCAACACCCTCGTCCCACCTTGATCTACTCTATGATCAGAGATCTCCTCATTCTCGCAGTCTTCGTAGCTCCGTGTGACTTCAATAAATCAAGCTCGCGAACACCTTCAGTCATTTACTTAGCCTTAGATAACTCACCAATTGTCTCTCTACTACGCTATACGATGTTCCACCGCGATCCACGCTCTCAATACCTCCTATCTGCATCTCGCTATCGCTAGTACATTCGCTAGCATCGTGCGAAATCGTTTCCTACTCGTATACACCCGCCAATCCGGAGATACAGACTAAAAGTACGACGATTCTCCATTCGTTTATCCAGCAAAACGAATCATAACCCGCTAACTTGGAAAACAAATAGGCAGCTACTTAGCTTGACTCTTGCGCACTCTTGCTGCCCTCGGCGCTGCCGGTTGTGCTCCGTGGGGAGATTGGACATCACGCAAACACTCGGCGAGCTGAATCTTTTGACCTATTTTACAAGCTGGTATGCCGCCCCCACGCACGCACGCCCACCGCAATCAGCAGCAGCTCAGATCCAATCTCCCAGCAAACGGTAAAGCCTCGTAGGTATCGCTAAGGTAGTACAAATGACGAATTTCCCTTGTTTATGGGAAGTCACACTCCTTCCTATTATCTACTTCTGATATTATATATGTTGTTGAGATAGGTAACGGACCAGGTATCTACGGTATCTTCGAAATATCGGGGCATGCGATAATAAATTTTAGTATAAGCGGTGGCGAGTTTGTTACGTACCGGCACCCGCGCGCCCCCACCGCACCGCGGAGGCGCGCGAACACATAGGAACGACTCTCTCTCCGCTCGTACCGACGAAGTGATTCAATGCTAGTAATTTAATAATTCGCGCATTCCCTTATCTTCACCGCTCCCTGACATTAATCGAAACGATTAACGATTGGCGCGGGCGTCGTCTGATTGTTTTATTTTTCGCTACACCACACCGTGTCGCGAGGCCGAGATTTGTGAATTTACGCGGTATTAGTGCTGGACGCATGGGGGGTTGGCGGTGGCAGACGCCGTACTCTATCTCTCCGTGGCAACGACGCGGCCTTCCGGCTCCTGCCTCATCGGACCCTTGATCTATCACTATGGACCACAGACGACTCCCTACCGAGCTCGCAGGGTCCTCGTCCGCACATTGTCCACCCTCCTGCCGATCCAGCAGATAGTGGCTCGGGCCATATTCTACTTGTTCTGCTCTATCTCACCTCACGTTGCCGCGCGTGCTCCATCGAAGAGCCTCAAAGTTGATTTTGAAACTATGCGACGTTCTAATAATGTTTGCACGAAATGTTCCAAACTGCTTCCCTGTTATTGTTTGTTTGTTTGGTGTTTGTGGTGTTGTTAGTGTTGTTTGTTGGCTTTTATTGTTGTTTTGTTGTGTTGGTTGGTGTAATGTTGTTGTTGATGGTTGGTGGGCGGTTCATAGTCCAGTACAGCCAGTTTGCTGAGGAGTGCGACAAGGCGGCTTGCGCGGCGCGGCCGTGGGACGCCAGGCGGGCTCGCCATGGTGCGGCCATAGGGTCTCGAGGTGGGGAAGCGGACCTAAGGGGAGGCGAGGGTGGTTGGGGTATTCACCCTGGCCCTTACAACGTGCACGAGTTCGCACAACGCCCCACTTCGTTTCTGGATTTCGCGCCTCCCAACACCTGACATTTTTACGATCGAGAAACCCTTACGCAACATACTTTGCATTTCTGTTTCACTGGTCTAGCCACACACATACGTGCACCCGTAACACTATTCTTTAGCTATGATGTCGCTTACTGCATATCTAGCGTTGCTTATATATACGCAAAGCACTGTGCTGGAAGAACGTCTGGAGAGAGATAGTAAGTGCGTAGCCGCGCTGACGTGCCAGTGTGCAAAGTCCGCCCCGTGGGACCAGTAGTAGTAGTTGTTTTCTCATTGTCTATGTGCGTGCGTGCGTGTGTCTGTGCGTGTGTCCTCGTCCGTGCTTGCCGCGCGTGTGTTGATGCATGTCGGTGGGTGCGCCGCTTGGTGAGGTGTGTGTTGTGCGCGCGTAGTGATGTCGTGTGCGTGCATTACATGAGTGTGTGCGCGCGTGTGAGGTCGTGTGTGAGGATTGACACCTATTATTACAACACCGTACTTATACAGCAGGAGAGACAAATGTCAATCTCAAATTTCTGTACTGAGGACGAGTGAACATAACGTGAATATAGATGAAGTTGCATACTCTTGGAGCTTTTTTATATGATCAGAATATCATAACTCGGTAAAAAAAAAATTTATTTAATTCTATCTATGCCTGCTCGTTACGTAAGGATTACGGGTAGTAATCTTAATTTAATGTCTGTTTTAAATTCATATGTCCAAAATAAGCAATAACATGCTAAGTAAATCAAATTTATATCATTGATATACAATTTGTATAAAGTGAGGCTGGTGTGAAGCGTAAGCAGGCAATGCAAAATAGATATTACTATAGCCTTTTCACGTGAACTACATTAGTTATTGCGTTGTACGTACGCGTGTATGTGCGCACATGCGTGTTACGTGCACGCCACGCGTGTATGTGCGGCGCATGGTTGTACATGCACGCACGCGTCGTATGCGCCGCGCATGCTGTACGTTCGGCATGCGTTCGTATGTGTAGCGCACGCGTGCGGTCATGCTGCATCGTGTCGGCAGATTACGTACACTCTCTTGCTACGTTGGCCCCTCTTTTTCTCCTTTCTTACACCTGTTGTACACGGGAAGGTACACTCAGCTGCGCGCACGCTACACGCGCACGTGCCATGGGAGGACCGGTCGGCGATCACGAGCATGGACAAATCCAATGCGGAAACCCACTAGCCGGATTAAGGGCGGGGCAAAGGCGTGCACCGGTGCCCCGGGTCCCCCCCAACCATTGGGGCGCCTGCCCCCAACTTAGCAGTATCCTAAATTTACAAAACTGTCGTAATTTGTGATCCACCAACAATTCTTAGCATGGAACGTTTTAGAAGTGATGACGTTTCCCAGGCTGTTTCTCTGACTCGAATTTGCTGTTCAGCTGAAGAACACTTTCTCCCTAATACCGAAATTGCGCTGAGAAATCTATCTATTCATTGATGTTCTCGAATTGTAGCGGTGATAAGGTCATTTTTCAAACTCAAGTTGATTAAAAATCACATGAAGAAACCACGATGAACCAACAGGATGCGTAAACCTCAAGTATTCTCGCTATCGAAAGTGGACATTTTAAATTCGTTGAAACACGATGAAATACTCTCTGAATTTGTAAGGCATGAAAGTCGCAGAAAAATACGAGATATATGGGCCCCCACAACAATTGCGGTTGCCGCGGGCCCCCCACACGCTTTAGTCCGGCCCTGGGAACCCTCAGTAATACCTGCCCTCGTCGCATCTCAACTATGCCTAGACTGTGCACGAGTCTTTGCGCCTGCTGCATGTGCGCTGCATAACCTCAATTATTATATACATGCCAATTTGCATGTATAATTTTGAGTTCGCACGCCACATTATGTGTGTCAATCGGTTGTAATTTCGGTAATCGATCATCGGTTGGACCCGAGCAAGCCGATGACGATTACAATCGGTTATCTCGGGTGCCTGGATATGTGATGGATGCCTGCTGTGGTAATTCCGTCTGTGATGTAGCTGTGTGTGCATGTATTGTGCTTGTTTTAGCCCTGTTTACTGTTTGTTTTTGCACTGTTTACTCTGTTGTGTTATTACATGGTATGCTTAATAAGGATGTAACTTGTATGTGCGGCCCGTAGCAGCTTTCTATTGGGGGGGGTTCGTTTTTTAGTTGGCAATTTGCTCGGCAGGGGCGTGATTACAGACTGTACCAGTGGGGGGGGTGGTCTACCGTAACCCAACATGTTTGCGAGCACGCGAAGGGGGGTCTGGGGGCCCTCCCCATGAACATTTTTTTAAATTAGACCCCCTCAGATGCGTTTTCTGCACGAGCAAGGGGGTCCGGCTCCTGGACCCCTGGACCCTCCCATAAAACGCCCCTGCTCGGGCGCGAGCGGACGCAGGCGATCGGAGCAAGCGACCGAGCGGGGGCAGGGTGTGGAGAGGTGGCGTGCTTCACATGTTCCACCTTCCCGCACGATTGGAGATTTTGCCAATATTACACTAAATGGGCGACCTGAGTGTGGGAGAAATTCTCTGCAAATTTTCAAATTATTTTTTTGGCTTGTGGGTGGGAGGGGGGACGGGCTCGGGCGGCGCGTTCGTTCGAACCCCCCGAACCCCCCCTGGCTACGGGCCTGTAGTAGCGATGATATCTCTGATTCTCATCACTTTTCCAAGTTTTCTTGTTCAAGTTTAAAAAAAAAAAAACCGATGATCGAGTATAATCGATGATCGTGACATCACTAACGCACATGCAGGCGCAAAGACTTGTGCACGCTAATAATGCCTATATCAATCGCCCCACGCGTACGCTCGCGGTCGACGCTGCCCGCTCGATCGAGATGGCCAACTCGCAGTCGTCAGTGTAAACGCGCTGCACAGTTCCTAGAACGGTTGACAGAGCGTTGGGAAGTTGGTCCAATTCGCCAATTCGCCAACACAAAGTAAGCTAGTTGGCAGTGTAAACCCATCTTTAAACAATGCCGTTATGTGATGTGATGTGCAATGAGTGATGTGTGTGTTTGAGCACACACACGCGCCCACAGGCCCCACACGCACCCGCATACGCATACGCTTGCTCGCACGTACGCACGCACGCACGCGCGCACACAGAGAGGGAGAGAGAGAGAAAGAGAAAGTTTAAGAATGTGCGTTAGTTCAACATGTCTTGATAATAAAACGAAAATTACATGATTAGTTATAGTGATCTTTAGTGATCACACCTTGTTGCTCATGAAGAGAATAGTTCTACTAAAAAGATAATTGTCGTAGTCACTGTCGGACCTAGCTTGTAGAAGTAAGGCTTTCAAAGTTAAGTTTTAGATACGATCATATCAGGAGTCTATCAATAATAGACTCCTGATATATTGATAGACTCCTGATAATATGTTAAAGCTACCAACTGTTCGAACGGAAAAGTTCGGCAAAGCTTCTTTTCGGTTTGCGGCGGCCCAGCTGTGGAACAGTCTGCCCAACGATATGAGCTAGAACTCCTGACTCATGCATACATACTCATGCAACAGTGTCTTCCGCAGACTTTTGAGTAGCTGGAACGGCGCAAGCTGTAAATGCTATCTCTGCAAATAATTTGAACCTGCTGTACTTTACTCTTAAAATAGTTTATTATGTTCTCTCAGCATTTCGTATGTAATATGCAACTGTGATTTTGATTTTATACAAGTCTAAAATCTATATTATATACCGCTGAAATTTATACATTTTTATATTTGTTCTTAACCAGAATTGTTATTTACTTATGTTTGTCGGAATAATAGCCCATAGGGCCCAATAGGACTAACGTTTATTGTTTGTGATATCTGACATTAAATAAAGATTCTTTATCTTGTATCTAGTCAGAATGAAGGCTGTACATTTGTCAAAAGTGCCTCAAATACCATCTCCTGCGATCTACATTTTCAAATTTTTGTGTGGGTCCCCAGACCCCCCGCCTGTGTGCGTACACATCAAGAGTAGATAATAACACTACTGTTATTATCTACTCTTGGTACACATCCATTTCACCCTAGCTACGCCCCTGCCTGCAATCTTGGCGCATGCGCGCATTTCTTTGAACTCTGTGCATTTTCCGCTTATCAATCGCTTTATGGCCACGCTACGTCGCATTAATATTTCATTTGCTGACAGTTGCAGTACCTGGCTCGTGGTCCTCCCTACTCTAGAACATTCCTCGCCTGGCTGGACCCCTTACAAAATTTTGTTTTGGGTGATTGGAATCCATCATAGATATAGAATATATCTCTATTCTATATATCTATGAATAATAATATCAGGAGTGGATAATAGAGGATTCTGTATTATCCACGCCTGATCTATGAATTCATCTTGTGCAAAGCGTTTCTGTTTGACGCTGAGTGTCGCTAGTATAGCGATAATTAAAGATTCGATTTTTTTAAATACTAGGCGTCTGAATTGCATAAATTGTAGGTTTACTTGACGCTCGATGAGGAAATAAATATTTTAACATTTGTATCAGCATATAGACGGCGCGATGTTGACCTAGATATCTCGTTTTCTGTGTAAAACTATTCACGCGTTGTGGTGGTACTTTTCATTGATTGAGCTGAGACGAGCTTTCTGCGCATGCGCGCGCCTGCCACGAGGTCGGTCTGTGAGCGCTGTGTTGGCGCCATTACAGTTCTTGGTTTTCGTCGGTGAGCACTTGCATCATGTCGCACTCGCAGGACAGAACTGAGTTTCTCAACTCGATTAACGAGCTAAACGGTGGAAACGACATGCCCACGTTTCTCTTCACATCGGAGTCCGTCGGCGAAGGACATCCAGGTACTGAAAGTAGCCGAATTTTTGTGTAAAATTGGTTTTCGTGAGGGTGAAACTGAAAGTAAAAATCGGGTGAGAAAATTCTTGATTGGCGTGTAACTGTAAAGCGTGACCGCTACCTACGTCCGTTCGTTGTGTCCTTGTTACTGATACCTGTCGTGGGTAGGGTGTGAACGCGTGGATATGTTTCTCGTTCGTTGTTGAAACTAAGTCGTCTTAGTCTTACGTTAAAATAACACGGTAATGCTAATTAGTGCACCTACAAAATGATGATGCAATCCGTCTATAGATCCGGGAAATCATTCTCATCTTTGAAGCTGTTACTGTTGCTGAATGGGTCGTTGTCGTATATGCATGTAGTATACATGTATATATGTATATATGTATATATGTATATATGTATATATAGTGTCGCCTACGCCTACTCCCTAACACTAACGGTAACACCCTAACCCTAACCATATCAAATAGGCTAGTTACCTCGGGTACATGTTATACGACAACGACCCTTCGTGCGTTAGGTCTACTGTCACTGACACTGTTACTCGGTGGCAAATTTTTACTGTAGGGGGTCCTACATACAACATTGAAATTTTTTACAAATATATACATATCTCACTTTATTAATGCCTTGCCTACATCATAAAACACTTGTCATGCATTATCAGCTCCTTAAATACCTTTCGTCACCTTTTCTCTTGTAAAGATTTCGCACTGTCCGAAAAGAAATGGTAAACCTGGAATGTTTCTTGTCTCTTGTGTTTGTGATGTATTCCCAACAATTCTCTCCTTTCTCCATTCAAGATTGCAATTTTCCTTCTAACAACAAATATAATTTACAATTTCTGTCATTCAAAAAATTTCCACATTTGTCTATAAAAGGCTGTTAGGCCCTAGAATAGTGGCACATTATAGGCCTACAATCTTCTAGGGCACAATTTATTGGTCTATGTTCTGTGACATCCTCAAAAATTTCGAATGGAAAATGTCACATAGAACATAGTGCTCAATCCTAGTTTGGAGTGCTGGCATACAGACCTATAGTTCGCACATGCGCTAAACTAATCCGGGATTGCTAAACGAGGATGGAGCCATAGAGGCGATTAATATTATATAATAACACGGTTAAACACGGTCGGACACAGTTGGCTAACTCGACGATGACTTGTAGAAACCAACATGAAGCATGAGCACGAATGAATGAGCATGAGTCAGCATATAGCTGTCTGGTAACAGTTGGTAGTCGGTGCATGCTAATCTTGTAAAAAATTTGTAAAAGTACCGTATGTTCGCGCTCACCGACTGCGCGATGGCGTGCCCTAAATTCTGCGCGTCTATAGCGCCCGAATTAATTTTCCATGGGAAAGTGCTGGTGGCGCTTAGTTTCAATGACGATTGTGTAATGTGTGAGCACGACTCAGCAAAATACAATTAAGCAGATGCCTAGTTCGCTGTGGGAAGTATATGGAGTGGGACGATGAGCATAGCTGGCTACGACGTGATCCGTATTCCGATGCAGCTTTCACTGTGCCGCGCATTTCGCGTCGCTTTCAAAAGAAACTACATAGCTATACGCTCGCCTGAGACTCTACCAATCATGTGAACACTAACTAATCGGTATCGTACGTGGAGCCTTTGGTATTTAATAACTGCTATAGATTTGCGAATTGTGTTGTTTCTTTTGTTTTTGGATGAAACTACGCAATTAAAATACGATGGATTTGAGTCGGTGATCTATCGATACACGTATCATCGAGGTTTGTATCGCGATACGTCGATATATCGCCGAATCGTCCTGCCTCCTAGTGGGAAGGGCAATCAACGATGATTGTGGGCTAGGTTCTAACTCCGGGCGGTTCGACGAGTGCACGCAATACCACAGTTCTCAGTACCGGAATCGCTCACTGACTCGGGGCATGAAATTAGCCAAAATGTGAACAGGCCCACCCAAAAATTTCAGGGAGATTCACAGTCTCCAATGTTGAGAGCCAGGTTTTTACACCTTGAGAAAATTCACTGCCCCGGCCGGGGTTTGAATTCACAGCCTTCAGCGGATAGTATACGTAGCCACGAAGGCGCTCCCTAGTAGGTAGGTAGGTAGGCTTTCTATTTTTCTTAGGGGGTTCTTCTTACAAATTCAGCATGGTGTCTACATGCTCGGGTGTGCTTGTGTGAGATACCTTTTATGGTGAATTGTTTGTTTTTGCTTGGTACAATAATGTATATGGCCTACAGATTATATAATGTAAAGTGATTACATTGTAAAAAAAAAGTAATGGGGAAAGATAAAAAAAGAAAATTTGAGTTCTGCCCTTTTATTTGGCGGGCTGGCGGGTGGGCAACAAACAATATTTTATATGGCTAAGTAGATGGGATAATGGAGGGTTAACCGGCTGGGCCGCCGGCAAATACGCTTAATTTTCGCGCAACTGCTTATTAAAATTCTAATAGTCCGTACGACTACGAGGCGAAGAAGGTTAATTCTCTCTCTGATTGAATCTTCGCATCTCACGATCTCGTTGTGTTCAGCGTTAGCGAGCTTGGCCTCGCCGGCTCGCAATGTCGAGTGTAAAAGTATTATCGGCGACGGTGCGAGTCAAAGCTAAAAATGACTCGCCCGTGTTGGCGAGTAAAATTAATGCCTAAGCTTTAATCAAAATATTGTTTCCTTACGGTTTTTTTTTTATCCAAACATTGGTGGAAAACAGTTCTTAGCCGATGTTATCAACGCCCACATCGCATGGCATTGTGTCATTGCCGTGGTGTAACATGCTTTCTGATTGAGCAGTCGCGATCATCTTAGCCAATCACGTACGTATTAGGCCAAAACAAAATATTAGGTGTGGGTTACGGTTTTCCGACCGACCCGTATTTATTCCCAGCGACCCTAAACATTTTATTGTCAATTTTCTTTAAAGTAAAAAAAAATAAAATAAAAATATTGAATGGGGACAGTTCCTGCTTCAAGAGGCACAACGCACATCATTCTTTCGGACAATAGGTTCGTAAATAAATATTTCAACGAAAAAGAAATGTTTTCCTACCTACCTACCCTCATTTTTTCGCATATCGGTAACCAACATATATCTTTGTTTTTTGGCCTTATATAATACCAATTCGCCCACTGGGCGCACCGATCGCACAATGTATGCGGTGTGGTGTAGCATTAGCGACAAGGGCTTGCGCGGGCTATTGACTTCCTGTATAAACAAATATAAATTCATAAAAAACTGTGCGTTACTAGTCAGTGCTCGAAATAAGCTGTTGTCGGTTGGTCGAGGGGGACAAACCAGAATTTGTTTTGCCGGACAACCTACCAGTCTGGGAGACATTGGTCGGTCGGACAACCAATAACAAAAGTTGACCAAAAAAAACGCCTTTATTTATGTTTTTTCAGTGGTTCTCCAAGGAGCACTTATAGGCCTGATGCGGCCGCATTAATCTATGGTGTGGGAAAGCGACGGCATTACCAGCTTTTGCTATTTTCCAACACTGGTAATATGTCAGGTTTTGATTTATGAGAGGTGAAACTCGATTGGAATCCAGGCAAACCAGCAAGTTCACCCCTTTACATTTGGTAATTATAGTTTCCATTATTATTTTGGAATTATTCCGATGGCTTTGCCTGCAAAAACAAACAACATTGCAGTGGGGATTTCAGTTTGATCGGAAAGTTAAAAAAAGAAGAATTGTAGTAGTTCAGAATGAAGGCTGTTACATGTACTCAAAAAGTTGCTGCAAAGTTACCATCTCCTGCGATCTTACATTTTCAAAATTTCTGGGGAGGGACCCCCACCCCCCGGCTTGTTTTTCACCTCTCCTTGGGAAGTTTCAGACCCGCCATGGAACAATTACATATCTTGGGAGCAGAGGAACAAATGAAACAGAAAGTGTCGCCTTTTACATGGCACCCAAAACAAAGATTGCATAGAAGTAAGAGGAGCCGTAGGGTGTTGGAGAGGGAGGCGGAGGACCATTAAAATATTAATCATCCACTATTTTGCGCAGTTTGCTTGTTTTTTGGCCACCCTTGCTTAAAAAATCCTGGTACACCACTGTTTTTGGGTGTTTTCTGACCATATTATTATTGTGATGAAATCAGGAGATTTGGGGATATTTTTGTTGGGACAACCAGAATTGGTTGCGGACAACCCGATTTTGATGCCTGGGTGTCCGCAGGACCAAAACCCCATTTTTTAGCTTCATCTGACATAGTCAGATGCAGCTTGTAGATCGCTTGATCGGCCGTCCGATCGTCGATCGTCCGATCGTCCGTCCTCAACAGTTGGGCACAAATCTTAACCGCTCGACGTACCGGTCACGATATTTCGGCACATTTGGGGGGGGGATCGTCAAACGAGTTTGGGTGTCGAAGCTGGGGGTTGGGTCAAAAGGTCAAAGTCAAGAGTGTAAAAGAAGGGGAACATTCACTCCTTAACTAAGGTATATAGGGCAGGGAATGCCAGAATTGCGGCACAAATCTAAACGGCTCGACCTTAGGCTCGTGATTAGCGGTGTATAGCATCCATGGTAGGGAAAAGCCTCAACGTGGCCGAAATTGGAGGTCACAGGTCAAAGGTCACATGGGCACAGGGGCAGATTGAGACATTTTTGAGAGGACATGGTTCTGACGGAGCGAGGTTGAAAAAACTTTTTTGTTTCAGCGGGACTAGGCATTTTTATGGCTTTAATTGAAAGGACCATGAAAATGTCCCTTCTGCTGACACTGCGAAGAGTATAGTAAGTGGTCGGATAACCTTTTGGACCCTCAAGAGGATGGCGATTAAACATGGGATTTGTGGACTGTTAACAAAGGGAGTGAATGCTTTTGCTATTAAGAGCCCCTCCCCCCACCCTCCCCTTTCCCTCCCCCACCCCCTTTCCCCACCCCTTCCCGCCCTCCCCCTCCCCTACCTTCAAGAGAGGGTTAACATGGATTTTTGACTGTCTGTTAGAAAGATTTGACTGCCGGGTTTGCTAGTAGAAATCATATACATGCCTGGATGTATTTGGAGGGCTACCAATGCACAGTGAAACTTCAAAAGCTGAAAATTGGGTTTAAAAAAGGTGTATAGATTCCTTAAATCGTATGAATTTCCTATTGTCATTCTGTACTGTCAGTATGGTTACATGTCAACATATGCCACTGCCAGTCGGCTGTCGATGTGTTGGGGCGTTTTTTGTGCATAATTGGTTTACAGGTGGCAGTCTCTATTTGCAATTTCTGCAGCCTGTAGGGCTTGCGTAGGTAATGGCTATGAGTGCTTACCTAGATTCTTTGTCTTGCAAATAGTATGTTTTTGCTACTACGAATGATGGGAGCTTTCCATTTTATCTGAAAGACCACTTAAACGTAACACGCCATTCTCGCTGGCAAACTTTCATAACGAATTACCCACCGAGACATATCTTTTATGAGGAAGGTCCTGATTACCATCTCTGTGCCATCTCCACTATTATCGGCGGGGGGGCGTGTATGTAACAGACATTTGGGACTTAACAGGGTTATACTTAAGAATCCCACCACTCCACCACAGAGTCACCGCAGTAGACGTTAGATGGACGCTGTCGCTATTGCGGCACTTTTTCTTATTTCGAGCCACTGATAGTAAAACAACATAGTAACGTGAGGAGGGTCTAGTTCCCTCGGGGTACTTCCCAGTACCTGGGGGTAACATAACCCCTGAGCCATTTAGTAAAATCAGTAACATGGGGCGTTTCATTGATGGGCAAAGCAGCCAGGAAGAAAAGTAAATTAAATTAAAATAAAGAACAGGATTGACGAACAAAAAACAGAAAACGCAGTTTTATATGAAAAAATGGACCAGTTTGGCAGGCCATGGTTACAAAAAACACAACAGAGGGGATGAAGTTGGTGCTTGGTGTGTGGAGCACTCGGCAACCCTAAAAAGTCTTAGGGACTGATTTAAGCGACGTCAGCACCTTTCATTGACGGCTGTGAACCGTTATAAACGAGACATCAATTCCTACCATGAGCTGTCTGAGGCACACCGCATGTTGCTTTCTGATAATGTAAAAGGCTTGCCGGCTTTGTTTCCGGGAATGCCATGCTATTGGCAAGACGGGAGACCATTTAGGGACTTTCAGCTGGTTTTGTGCGACTTGGATTTAAGAAAAAAAAGGGGCCTCTCGACTTGGCCCTTTTGCATTTGTAAATTTGTTAACTTTGTTTGTGACGGTTTTACCGGGAGGTACGCCTACTTATAATTTGTGATCAATTAATTAAATGTGTAGTTTTAATCAATGGCGTTTTTGGTGTTTCCCCCATATTGTTTGACAATAAATAATTTTGTTTTAAAATGTGGGCGCGAGTACAGATTCCATTCGGGCGAGTTAACTTTGACTTGTTAATTGACTCACTCGCCCAGTTTGGCGAGTGTTTTTTTTTGCTGTTTTTTTTTTTTTTTTTACCCTGGTGTTCGCAATTGTTTCAGACAAGGTGTGCGACGCGATCAGCGATGCGATACTCGACGCTCACCTCAAGCAGGATCCGCACGCAAAGGTAGCCTGCGGTGAGTACCGTATTCAAATTTAGCCGGACGCCCGAGACGTGTATAAATCTCGGCGGGCATGTAAGCATTGCAAGCTCATTTGTCTGACGGGCTCCTGCTTTAAAAACGCATATAAACTATCGTACTACTGGCCGTTAACTAAAGGTTTTTAATTTAAAATCACAAAATGTTAACGCCGGAAACGAATGGCGTCTAGAAGTTGTCTGGTGAACACTTCTTTACTCGATATTCCGAAAATATTCCTGCAAAATATTTGGGCGACTAGAATGTCACTCGGGCATGTACATTTTACAGAATACTTGCTCGAAGGGCAAGTGGCTCAAGAAGTTTTTTGTGAACACTGAGTACGTAGGGGGCGCCAGCGGCGGGGGGCGAGATCGCGGGCGTGTGATGACCTGTATTTCCTTGGCTGTGTCTGTATCGCGGGGAGTTGATCTCTCCAATGCTGATAGAGGAATATCTGATGGTTTCGCGCTCTGGCCGGCCCCGCCTATACATGCTATACGTGTCCCTGATAGTCTGCTGTTCTTGTGTTTCGTCTTAGAATATCATTGAGTCTGAGCGAAGCAAAAAATGTCACTTTGTAATCTTTTTAAATCTACAAGAGTTTGTTTTCCGTCGTTGCGATCGAGCGATAACGAAGCACGATGATCGCATTAGTCCGAAATCTCGCAATCTCGGAAAAGTGGACGTTCTCCCGGTTTAAAATTTCCTGCGTTTCGTTTTGCTTGGTCCTTGAATGTCCTCGAGGCACCCGTCTATTTGAGCGAATCGTGAAATTCACTTTGCGCAAGTTTGTTTTCCGTCGGTGCGATCAGGCGATGATAACGAAGCACTAAGTTCACATTAATTAGGCCTTAAAAAGATGTTTGTTTCCGCTAACGCGCTGAAAAAAATTGGACACATTAGGCAGGCAAACCTTTTTTTTATCAAATATTTTATATATTTTTTGTATTCTAACAATACTTGTTTCATACTTATAACAGCCCACATAATGACTTCAAAGTCATTTCAATTCAAGTTTTTTTTTTGTCGATCACAGTAAAATGTTTCGACACGGCGGTTTAAAATGGACTCGGCCGGGTTAGCGGAAACAAACATCTTTTTAAAGCCTAATTAATGTGATCTTCGTGCTTCCTTATCATCGCCTGATCGCAACGACGGAAAACAAACTTGCGCAAAGTGAATTTTAGGCCGTAGTCCAAAATCCTGCGGTCTCGGGGGAAAAACGTGCGTTCTCACATCCCCCGTGTGGAAGACTTCCGGTTTAAAATTTTCAGTGTTTTTCATTTTCGCGCCGCAGAGACGGTTACAAAGACGGGAATGATCCTGGTGGCGGGAGAGATCACGTCGTCCGGCTGCGTCGATTACCAGAAGGTCATCCGCGACACCATCAAGGACATCGGCTACGACGACTCGCTGAAGGGTGAGTGGGGTCGCGGCGAGGGTCATGCATGTGGGGGCGCAAATACGGTCAAAACGCCAATTTGAATTAGGCCAAAACAAAATATAGGTGTGGTTACCGTTTCCCGACCGACCCTAAACATTTTATTGTCAATTTTCTTTAAAGAAAAAAAAAAAAAAAAATAAAAATTAGACAGTTCCTGCTTCAAAAGGCACAACGCAACATCCTTCGGACATGGTTCGTAAATAAAATGTTTCAATAAAATAAAATGGTTTCTTTACCTACCTACCCTATTTTTTCCCGGCATGAAATGGTAACCACATCTATATTTTGTTTTGGCCTTAGCACAAACGTACAACATACCGTGATGTGACTTAACGTCTGAAACGAACTGAACTGTCAGACCTGCGCGATTCCTGGTTAGTCACGGGCCGGGAATGGTCGTGCGTTACCCCGCGTAACATTGACGGCGGTGCGACAGAGAGGCGTGAGATAAGGTATATATGTTATACAGACGGGAGACGATCATACATCTGTATTCACGGCGTGTCTCGCGTATAAAATTCACGGTCGTAAAGTTTGCGTGAGCGCGTCACGTGGTCGTAAATCGTTGCTCGAGGTGTGATTGCCGTCTCTACGCGGAAGGCCTAGCGATGGGTTGGTCGGGGAATTTTTTTCTGCGTTGCTTGGAGCCCGTGCTCGTAGATTGTTGGCAATCGATCGTGGGATTGCCACGTAAGCGTGGTCGCACCGTGTCGAGCGGATCCGCGTTCGCCGTGACGCGCGCAGTAACGAACGCAGCCGCACTCGCGGTAATAAGGTGGCATTCGCGCCTGCGGTAACAAGAGCGCATCCGCGCACACTCCCAGCGTCGTGATCTCGAAACGTTTCCCCGCCGCGATTTGCAGGCTTCGACTATCGAACGTGCAACGTGCTACTCGCTGTCGAGCAGCAGAGTCCAGACATAGCTAACGGCACGCACGCCAACCGCACCGACGACGACGTCGGGGCAGGCGACCAGGTATACCGAGTGCCTCCCCTTCCCTCCCCCCGCCCCCCGTCACTAACACCCGCGTCGCGGGGGGGATCGCGTCCCGAGCAATCTCCGAGTTCCGCGGAATTCCGGGGACCCGCTCTTCTCGAGTCGATCTGAGGTCACCGAACGATCGGGGAAGGCGCGCGAGCGACGGAGAGAGCAGGCGCACCGCGCGCGCGAGATTGCAGCGGGCGTGGTGGTCGGTCCGCGTCTGCGTCGTGGTGAGACGCGTCTGCTAACAGCACGTGTGTGTGTGTTTGCGTGCGTGTGCTGCGTTGTGTGCTACCTAACGTGTGTTGTGTTGTGTTGCATCGTCGTCGTCGTCGTCGTCGTCGTCGTGTAGGCTTCGACTACGCGACTGCAACGTGATGATAGCGCTGAGAGAGCAGAGCCGACATCGCTCAGGGCGTGCACGAAGACGCGCGCAGGACGACATAGGCGCAGGCGACCAGGTACAACGCCCAGCCGCCGCCGACGCACGGCCAACGCTGGTGCAGGGGGAAAAATAATGAAACTATCTTAATAATTAATAATTAATTAATAATATAATAATAATAATTTAATAATGAAATTTAATGAATTAATAATAGACTCTAAAATTCTCGGGGGCTCCTTTTGGCATTTCGCGGGGCCTAAATTGCCGAGCCCCCGTGTATTTTTCCACTGGCTGGCGCAAGCACGGGGTAGGAGGGAGAGCAGGGTGGGAAAAAAGGGAGTCTCACCATCTGAGCGAAGCGAGGATGACTGCGGGTGCGAGCGCCGTAGGTGGGAGGGCCTTACCTTGAAATGGAAGGAAATTTAGTCTGAAATGGCCATAATATGATTTTATATATCTTTATATAAGCACTGTTGTCAGTTATACGAGGTGTTATAATATATACAAATATGGGCCACCCTCATTGCGTCTCATCCAAGAATAGTCAAGTGATTGTCCGTTAGAAAATCAGGGAGTCGTATCTGAAGTTCAAAAACTAAAGCACACACAACAAAAACGGATGTGCGTATTTGAAGACTTCATGCGATGCACGTGTGCACAAATCTTTCTTTGGACAAGTTGCTGGAAACAATACGGTAATTCCATTGAGGCAGTCGCTATGACGACTTGTTAGTATATTAGCAGAGTTTTTCAGGCAGTCCCAAAGGAACTCCTTTGCAGATGTAAAATTCAGGGAGTCGACAGCAAAATCGGGATGTATTTGACACCCTGATAGTCCGTCCAAAAGGCAAGGTAGACGGCAGGGGCTTGGCTAAACACAATGGGGACCAGAGAGTGAGAGAGATGAGGGGAGGAGGGGGAGACGTGCGCTGTTACGATCGATCACCGTGGCACTAGCGTCTGGCGTTCAAAGAGTGGAAACGCGCGGCTCCGCGGGACAATATCTTCTGAGGCGATTTCACACCGGAGTGTGTGTGTGTGTTGCGTAAGCTGCGTTTGTGTGTGTGCTTGCGTGCGATGCGCTCGTGTGTGTGCAGTGCGGTGCAGCGTGTGCCTGTGTGGCGCGTGTCGTAAGTTGGTTGTGCGGTGCTGTGCGGTGGTGTGAGGGAGGCCGCTGGTTCGTTGTTTGCAGAAGCAAGCATGGTGGCTCTCATTGCATTGTCGCTGTTTCGGCGAGCGCATTTTGTTTTTCTCAAGCGGGTGCCGACCTGACTGACCGCCGTAATTAGTCTAGATTCTTCGCAGTGACTACGCACTATCTCTAACCGCCACGCTAACAGTTTCAATATCACATCAGGGTTTCTTATACATAGAAGGCACAGTGGCGCCGCCGTTGTGAATTTAAACTCGCCGTTGTGGAAATTTCTGTTATTACTGATGAGGTATATCTGGTATCTACTATACCTATAAGTATTTCAATACTCCTATATTTGATCCATCATGCGCGTTTTTCCCCACAGTGGCCATTACCGTCTCTTTGTCAAATTTCCCTCAAGAGACCTGTATATACTCGTGATAGCCACACGTAGAATCCCCCGTCTTTATATTTCTTTTTACTCTTGTGTGCCGTCACGTTTGCATGTTCGTTTTCCACCCCTCTACGGCGACAAGCCTAGGGCCACGCATGCGGCAAAGCAGCATTACTTTCTGATGACCTCTTACGCCTCCCTTTGTAATGACCTTTGACCCCGTGGTGACCTTTGACCCAGCGATGCAACGCGACCTGAGAGCTCGGGGAGGTAGAGCGCCCGCCGATTAAGCGGTGAGGAGGTCCTGGGTTCGATCCCCAGTCAGGTTGTTGCGCAGCAGATACGCTCCTATTCCATCCTCCTCCGCATTCCTTTTCCTTCTCTTCCGCATTCCTTTTCCTGCTCCTACTCCTCCAGGTCATCTGCCTCCTGCCCTCCTCCTCTTGTTGTGCAGCAGACACGCTCGTATCCATCCTCCTCCTAATCCTCCGCTTCGTCCTCTTCCCCTCTTCTGCCTTGTCCTCCTCCCCCCTTCTCTTCCTTTTCCTGCTCCTACTCTCCTCCGCCTCTCCTCTTCCTTTTCCTGCTCCTACTCCTCCACCTCTGCCTCCTCCTCCTCTTCTCTTCTTTTTCCGGCTCCTCCTCCTCCCCCTTCTGTTCTTTTTCCTGCTCCTACAACCAAATTTAGCATGTTTAGTAGGTGATTTCTCTGTGTCTCCCTGTCTATGTGTTTGCAAGATCTCACATTCTCCCTGTCTGTATTTTAAAATCGACTTAATTTTATCTATGTCTAGATCTATCTAGCTAGCTAGCTAGTCTAGTCTGCTATCTAGTTTGGCATTGGATGCAGGCAGCATGGTGCCTTTTGCTTGCCGACGATCGATATGTACAAAATTTTTGCCTTTTTGTTATTTGGGTTATTTCTTTTTGGCTTCTTTGCCGCGATTCTTATTCCTTCTCGCTTCCAATTACCAGCATGAAATATTATTTCTTATTTTTATCGTGGGTGGATTTTTCGATGCATTCGTTGTTGCAAGTTGGGGGAAAGTGTTGTTTCATCGAGTGTTCACTCTTAGCCTAATTTTAATGCGTTACAGCCTGACAGGGGGTCACTATAATGTGGTTCCTACAATAAGCTGTGTGTACAGTAAGGGCAGTAAACTTGCTGCAGTGTTATCCGTCAGGTCTGTAAGTGGGTCCCAAGAAATTTCCCGACTCGAAAAAGTAACGCCAGTGAATGCGGCCAGTAATTCTTCTAGAGTGAGGGTAGCGTTACGGATTTACAGCGATTACTAGCATTAGCGATTGGTTCGAATGTGCTCCTTCGCTCTATCGTAAGATTGGGCCATCCTTAAAAAATTCTATGTTTGCTGTCCCCCGACTCATGATTTTTTTAGTGGGTAGGTAGGTAGGGTCTTTTTTTTGTGTG